GGGGAAAGGGTGAAGTATGAGCTCCGTGCTGTGTTACACAACTCTGGAGTGGCATGAGTGAGTGCTGATAAGTCTTTCTTCCTTCAGTAAAAAGGCCACAAAATGTGACTCCTTGAAACTGACTTTTATTGCCTGGCTGCAAACAAACTTCTTTCCACACAGGGTGGTGAGGCACTGGCACAGGTCGCCCAAGGAGGTCATGGATGCCCCAGCCCTGCAGGCATTCAAGGCCAGGCTGGACGTGGCTCTGGGCAGCCTGGGCTGCTGGTTGGAGACCTGCACACAGCAGAAGGTCTACATGAACTACATGATCACTGTGGTCCTTTTCAACCCGGGTCATTCTATGATTATTTGTTGTGTCTGCAATAGAATCATAGAATCCTTAGAATTGAAACAGACCTCTGAAGGCCATCTAGTCCAACTCCAACAGGTTTTTCTTTACTGAATATAAAGGGCTAGACACTTCTTGCTGCTAGCCAGGTGATTTCTCTCAAAGCATTATATTGTGAGCTGGAGGGCTTTTCCCAAGGCTGAGGAAATTGAGACAGTGAGATGGGACAAGGAAGGCCAGGGATAGACAACCATGTGCATCCCTCATTGCCTAGAGCAACTAGGAGAGAACTTCCTAATTAGATCTCAGATGGGCCTGTTTTTCTATGTACATTGCTACTCTTCAGCCTGAAAATATTACTTTACAAGGAGTCTTGCCCACAGAGAGCAGGAGGTTTGAGAACATCCGAGCCAAATCCTTTTCTAGGACTCAAACGTCATTTTGAGGGGAAAAAATAGATGTATTGAGAGAGTTTTCTGTCTTCCATTCTGCTGTGAGCAAGGGAGCCATCCTGAAGTTATTTTCCCTGAGCTACCGACATCATACTTTTTCTCCCCTTACTCGATCCCACTGACATGGCCATCATTCAAGAAAAGTTAATTTATCAACCCTGAATTTCCTTTCTTTCAGAGACAGTAATTTCAACTGGCACGGCCAAGAAGCAGGTCCTGCTGCCAGCACTGCTATTGGTCTGCTGTGACCTCAGGCAAGTTATTTAACCTCTGAAATCTCAGTTCACCCATCTGATGAATGGCGATGAAAACTATTTCATGATAACACACTTTCTTTAAAAAAGTTATTAAATATCCTGCAATTACTGAGTAATGATTATTTTTAGCCCTTCAACACGATTCCATCTCTTGCCAGACATTCAAAGTACCTATTGTCCCAGCCTGCTGCCCAGCCACTTTTGGAATGACAAGCTAATTTTCTCTGCAGAGCATCACCTTGTGCACATGTCCTCCTTTCCCAGACACAAAGCCCTTTCTGATTTTATTTCTTACACACACTGAAATACATGCTTCTGGCCGCTAAGCCAGACAGAGCTTGTTTCTAGGTCAACCCGCCATTATTGCTTGTCTGAAATAGGGATAAAATAAAAGGCTGGCATATTTAATTTTTTTAATGTAAGTGTCCCATTCATTCCTCTTCTAATCATTCACCTTCAAGAATCATCTTTGATTCTGCTTGCTCTTGTGTAATGTTCAAATTACCAACAGCTGATCAAATAGCACAGTTTCTAAGCAGTGACCCCAAATTCTTGGAGAACTACAGAAGACACAAAAATGTGACCTGACCTGCTTAACCCTGTCTGACCTTCCCAGCCACACAGACTGACCTGACCCCACTCCTTTTATTCTTCCCAACACTCTTTAATAGAATCCACCAGGGGAAAGCGGTGGGGGGAGAAGTAGTCAGCAAGCCTCAACATCTTACTTCAGAGAAGTGTTTCCTTAGCTAAACATTATAACTCTCAACAGTGATTTCCAAATTGCTGGAACATTACCTCCCACCTCGCCACTGTAACCAGCCCTTTGCATGGTACATCTCCGAGAGTATTCTTGAGCTGCCAACTTTTGCCAGCAGCAACTCAGAGCAAACAGAGCACATTCCTGCCTAAGAGTTTCCTGATATCACAGAAAACTTCCTTATTCCTATAGATAAGGGTGTTTGGGAATTTTATCCACCAGTTTGATGGTTTCTGCCACTCTGCTTGGATCTCTTGGGAGAGGGCTTGGGGGTTACAGCCTGTCCTTACATTTTGCTCCTATATAATCCTTATCGTGATACAATAATAAACAATGACAGAGAGTCGCGGGAGCAAACCAGCCCTAGTAAAAAAGAGCTGGGATTAGCACTAACCACACTGCTGGATTTTAGCCAGCGACTCCTCATCACTTACTCCCCTCACTGCTGCAAAAGCAGAGAGATACTCCTGTCTTTCCAGGAGACCTGTATTTGCAGGCAAGCCTGAAAGCTCCAAGACATAACAGATGTCTCCATTCTCTGTCAATTTTTTGCTTTTCTCTTTGCTTACATAATGCTAATTAATTTGGGCTGAAGATAGCTGAAATATTCCTTGCTTCCACAGCATACATTCCAGACTGGCTGCTCTCATAAGCAGTCTGATCAGCATTACTCTGTATGTTCCTGCCAAATGCAGTGTGCTATTTTAACTAAACCCGTGTCTCCGCTTGCCCCTGTAACATGAAATATCACTGCTTTTGGATGAATGTAGTGTAGGATAATCATTTACATCAAGAGTTGGTCTCTAGAATACACATTCAAAAGCATTTCCTAATTACTATAGAGAAAGTCTTCTGTCTTCTCAAAGAGAAGGATATTAAAAAAGCCAAGTACATGCAAACAAGAAATAAAACCACTGAAATGGAAAGCACTCATGCCAGTGAAATTGCACACGTGGAAATTCTGTTGCATGATGAGGTTCTACCAAAGGACGGAAAGAACCAAAGGAAATATCAAAGGCTGCATCCAAAAAAAAAATAAAAATCCAAAACTGAGTTACCTTGTGTAACAATCAGAAAGATCACACAGCGGAATGGTGATACAGGAGGTGTCAAGACAAAGGGACTAGCATGATGAGAAGGTGTTACAAATAAAAAGGAAAAAAGGAATAGTGCTCACCTGCCTCTGAAGCTCACAGGGAAAATTTCACGTTAGAGTGATGTCCAACCACAGACCCTTCCCCAGGGGCAGCCAGCCCTTCAGTGAGGCCTAAGAGAGGTGCAGCCAGGCTCCATCCCTTCCTATCACACAGCTGAATTGCCTTCACCTGTGCTCCCAGGGCTGACCGGCTCCTTTCCCCAGGTGCTCCATCAGTGCTGCAGGCTGGGACTCAGCAGCTCCCTACATATATCTTGTGTCTCTACATTGATCTGGAAGTCAGAATGATTCTGAAATTCTGGCATCACGTGATGTGTGGGATGAGTTGGCAACATGAAGCTCCAGCACTCAAAGCTCAGCTACCATAGGAAGACCACGCCTGCTGGGTAAAGCGGGTGCTAGAAAAACCAAGTACAGCCCAACCAGAGACCCCACTGCATTCAGAAGAACAAAGTTGCACTGAAAGAATCTGACAACAGATCCTTTAAGGTCCCTTCCAGCCTAAGCCATTCTGCGACACCAAGAACAGAAGTCAGCACTATAAGAATCCATGTTCATTTTTAACTGTACTCTCCCTCTTTACTCAGCACTGGTGAGGCCACACCTCGAGTATTGTGTTCAGTTTTGGGCCCCTCACTACAAGAAAGACATTGAGGCCCTGGAACGTGTCCAGAGAAGGGCAACGAAACTGGTGAGGGGTCTGGAGCACAAGTCTTATGAGGAGCGGCTGAGGGAGCTGGGATTGTTCAGTGTGGAGAAGAGGAGGCTCAGGGGAGACCTCACTGCACTGTACAACTTCCTGAAGGGAGGTTGTGGTACAAAAGGGTCTGGCCTCTTCTCCCAGGCAAATAGTAGGACCCGAGGAAACGGCCAGAAGTTGTACCAGAGGAGGTTTAGGTTGGATGTTAGGAGAAACTTTTTCTCTCAAAGGGTGGTCAGGCACTGGAATGGCTGCCCAGGGAGGTGGTGGAGTCACCGTCCCTGGCAGTGTTCAAGAGGCGCCTGGATGAGGAGCTAGGAGACGTGGTTTAGTGCTTGTGGTACTGATAGGAATGGGAGGGGGGTTGCACTAGATGATCTTGCAGGTCGTTTCCAACCTTGTGATTCTGTGATTCTTGAATGAAGGTTTTTCCCAGCAGGCTCAGAAATAGGCTATTTTTATTTTTTTTCTTTTTAAGAATGCATGAAAGCAGATTTAGCTAAGGAAAAAAAAAAAAAAAAAAAAAAAAAAAAAAAAGAGTCCTCATGGAATGTGTTGATCTCCAGCTTCAATACTTCCACAAAATTTGTCCCAATTGTTTGGAAGGTAGAGGTATAATACCACCACTGCCATTATTGTCACATCACTGTGACTTATTTCTTTAGCTTTCCATCTCTAGAAAGAGATTGAAGTACGTGTTTTATATATTTGAACAGAGAACTTGATCCAGAAGCCTCACCCTAACTGTCCTATGTGCACATCATGCAGAGAGCCCTTTGTTGTGAAGGACTGAATCTTGCTCAAGACAAGACCTGAACTGGAAACCAGAATCTGGAAGGGGAGTTGTAACAAGACAAACGTGGTATTTGTGTCAACGTAAACTCTTGGGGAAACCTGCACAGTGAATTCTTCCTTGGTGTTTGCCAACAGCCAGTGTCATTCATCCTTCCTGTTACAGCAGGAACCTAAGTAACTACTCTTAATATTGTTTATTTGTATCGAAGATTACCCTGAATCAGACATCAGCTAATGACAGAATCCCTGAATTTTCTTCTCCACACTCATGTTTTCTCTGCCTCTATTGAGATATCACTTAATGAGCCTGGGAATGTACAAGCATGATTCAGTATTGGCACAGGAAGAGTACTTTGCAATGAATTACCTCCAGCAACGGCCTGAGCCGAATGCTTTCAGCATGCCTATGGAAACCCTGTGCTCAAGGCAAGTAGACTTGGACATGAGCACACAGGTATGCCACTGTGTTAGTGTAGCAATTGGACAGACACAATGGGAAGATCAGCACGATAGAATTGTGCTATAAAAGAAGGGAAGAAAATTGCTCACCTGTATTAGAAGATTCCAGGTTCACAGGGGAAAGCATCACCAGCAAGGGATCTCCAACCAGACACCTTTCCCCAGGGGCAGTCAGCCCTTCAATGAGGCCTAAGAGAGGTGCAGCCAGGCTCCATCCCTTCCTATCACACAGCTGAATTGCCTTCACCTGTGCTCCCAGGGCTGACCGGCTCCTTTCCCCAGGTGCTCCATCAGTGCTTCAGGCTGGGACTCAGTAGTTCCTTACAGTTATCAAAAATGCCCTGTTGGGCTAGATGAGAGAATGGAGACATTTTGTTCTTTCTGATGATTAAAGAAAATTAATCAGTTAGCAGTATGCATCTTAACCACAATGCAGAAGAAAAGTGTTAGTAGAGAAACTGCAGAGAAGTAGAAAAGGGATAGAAAAGTATATGTAGCAATGAATGTAGTATTTTCTATGTTTGATAGAGGCTTCGTGCTTTGCTGTTTGGTCACTCTTCACACCCAGGTTTTCCCAGTGTTTACACCTCGGGTTCATTTCGTACTTGTTCCTGCCTTCCTTTCCTGTTTATTGCCTTTTTCTACCTCTGATCCACTTCCAGAGTCTCCTATCCAAACAAAAGAAATCACCGACAAGCATCATTTTTGCTGCCCTTACCTTCCTTATTCATTTTATTTTTAACCATTTGACTTCTTATCAACTATAGGTTCTTCTGGAAAGAGACTGCTATTTTGATGTCCCTCGGTGGGCTCAGCCTTGGAGTGCTCAGTGCCTTTTCATTGTAATGAGTGTGTTTGATTAGTTAAATACTTCAGCACTTCAAATGTTAACAACACAGGAAAATCCTGTTGAAATTTCAGGAAAAGATCTTGGCCATCCTTGACTACAGATCTGCCTGATTTGATTGCTCTTATTCCCACTTCCATGTTTTTATACTTTTGCAGGTATTTCCTGAAGATATTCGCTTTTTCTGCTTCAGCGTCTTCTTTGGTAATTTATTACCTCCCATGTAAAATACCTTTTTCCTATTTACTCTTTGTTTCCAAAACTATAAAAAAAACCTTCCTCTGTTTCTCAGCAATCAGCTCACAATCCCTAAGTCTCAGCTTTCCAGGATGGGATTCTTTTATCGTAGCCCAGGATCTAAGTCAGAATGATCCAAAGAAAATCTCTGTGTTAGATTAGATGACTTTTCCTCCAGCTTTCCCAGAATGCGGATGGAGCCCAGGATTTTTGTTCTGGATGGATGCTAAGGCCCCGAGCTATCCAAGAAATCTCCTGCCTGACGCCAATCAGGTGTGATCAGTGAGGACAAAGACGCTTCCCTTTTCTAATACTCATGGCCCAGCTTCAGACTGAGAGCCAAAGAAGGCACTTCAAGGATCTGTAACATGGCAAGGCCTCGTCCGGACAAGCTTTTCCAGCCGTATTCTTTTAGAGTCACGGAGTCACAGAATGGTTTGGGCTGGAAGGGACCTTAAAACTCATCTCGGTCCAGCCCCTGCCCTGGGTTGGCTGACCCACCGGCTCAGGCTGCCCAGGGCCCAGGAGTGGCCTGGAGCAGCACTGGGGGGGGGGGGGCACACAGCTCTGTGCAGCTGGGCCTCACCCCCTCTGAGTAAAGAGGTTCTTGCTAACATCTCACCTAAATCTCTGCTCTTTTAGGTTTTCATTTCTTCTTTTGATGAGGCAGAGCTGACTTTCTTTTCACAACAGCGCTCTGAAGCGCTGACAGGCAGTGCTCACCTTTACTCACCTTCCATACAGCTGCAGTTCTGTGCGGGAATCGTTGGAGACTTGTTTGTCTAGAGGTCTGCTTTGTGCATCCTGGTCATTACGGCCAGGAGTCCTGGGCTCCCAGCCCTGCTCCTAGCACTGCTCTCCAAGTCCACAGCACTCAGTGAATAGTTCATAAAATCTCTCAACCACAGCTAGCCCTAAGGAATGATGTCACAAACCCTACTGAAGGACGATGAATTTTCCCTCTCCATCAACTCCAGTATTCCATCCATTGTTTCCATACACATAAAACTAATGGTGCTTTTACCACTGGAGTGCAGTCCTTTTTGGAGTGGAAAATGGTAGTTGTGCAAAGTTCCAAAGTAGCATTAAAAAGCAACAAAACTGCTTGGGATAGTCAGAGCAGTGCTGGTCACAGAGCACTCCACGCAGAAGGCTTTGCTCAAAGCTGACATTTCCTCCTTACCAAACTCATAAATCACTTTTAAAACGTTAAGCAAATAAATTGGCCATTTTTCTTGTCATTCAAAACCAGTTTTTCTTAGTGTAAAGCTACGGTGGCTGAGTTCATGCAAAAATGTTGGCTTTGTACTGCTCTGATTCACAGGGTGTCAGTGGGAAAGAGAAGGAGAGCACACAACTTTTCATACCTGCACACACCGTACACTCAAGCTGTGCCTGTGCTTACCCTGGCACTGTAAGACATGCACTCACTGTATGCTCACAAAATAGAATAATTAAAAAGCAAAACATATCTCAGAGTTTAGGAGCTGTAAAAGGGAATGCTGAGCCACAAAAGGTATACTTTTAATAGTTAATTTAATAAAGATTTAGCACAGAAGCAACTGCCTAAAATCAAATTTAACGTTCAGTGTCTATTTCTGAGCGCTGCGCCTTTCTGGTTGCTCAGACCTCTGGCAGGGGTGGAAGAACAGAAACTTTGTTGTTTCAAGGACGGCTGCAAACTGAGGGTGAAGACACATCCATGGTGCTCTCCTGTGGAGATGCAGTGCTCATGCACCGCAGTTCAGAACTAATGTACAGAACCAACTTGTGTTCTGCAAATAGTATTTTATTTGAGCTCCACAGAAATGTGAAAAGAAAGACTGAAGATGCAAATATATACTTTCAGTGTTACCCAGGATAGATTCATTCGTGAGCTTGAAAATCACTGCTGACCTTCAAGCTGAAAGTGGACTCATAAAGTGGAATTTACAGCCTAGAGAGGAACGTCCTTCTCAAAGTGCAATTTAACCTGAGCGTTCATTGAAATGGTTTTATGGTGTTTTTGAGTAATTTTATTTGCTTAACCAATCTCCAGGATCTAATTTTGAGGCACATAGTCCACTACTTTTGCAATTATTTTATAACCATTAGTACCTCTTCGCTGCACTCTGAAAACCAACTCAGATGCCCACATAGAAGACAGTAAGAGTGAAAAAAATATTGGAAAAAAAAATAATCACAGAAACACAGAATCATTTGAATTCAAAGGGACCCTTGGAGGCCTAATCCAACTCTCCTGCAGTGCACAGGGACACCCACAGATCCATCAGTGCTCAGAGCTCCACTCAGCCTGACCTTGGGTATCTGTAGGGAAGGGGCATCACCACTTCTCTGGGCAGCCTGTGTCAGTGCCTCACCACCATTATTGTAATAAACTTCTTCCTTATATCCTATATATAGTCCAATTCTCCCCTCTTCAAGTTAGAAACCATTTCCCCTTTCCCTATCACAACACATCCTGCTAAAGAGCCTGTCCCCCTCCTTCTTATGACCTCCTTTTAGATACTGACAGATGCCCCTTCACACAGGAATGCTGAAGGTCTGTAGTTCTATTGACCTAATGTAAAAAAATAAAAATAATCTTAAAAAAACGCTACTCCCTCCATATGCAGTTCTTTCTCAAGAGAGGGTCAGCAGCTGGTAGAAAAGGCATGTTGCAAATCAAGCTCAAGGTGCACATGACAGATGTGGGACTGGAATAACACGGATGTCACAGCCTGAGATTCAGGTACAAAGCACAGGCTGTATGAGAGCCATCATGCAGGATTAGGAGGAGTGAAATCTGTCTGCAGAACTGCAGCAAAAGCAGAAATAATGCTGGAAAGACAGAGCCAAAGAGCTGCAGAGTAACCAGCAGAGTTATGCGGGGACCAAAGCATGCTCCAGCCATCCTGTGCCATGGCTAACAGTATGAGATCTGCAGTCTTGACCCAAGACTGGTCACCTCGTTTGTGGATGTCTAAAAAAAGAGGCATGGTTGGTTGCAGTGGGGAGGACCTTTACATACAAGATAATTCTGCTCATGAGAAATAAATCAGAAACATTTGGAGAATAGGGTGTGTAAGATATTACTGCCTGAGGGCAGCAGGAAATTATGAGAATAATAGTGCATGCATGTCTTCTGCCATTATTTACCTTGGCATTCAATAGGACATGTGTAGTTGCCTGAGCAACTTCCACATCCCAGGGTACAAACACTACATGGAGATCATTCTTCCCTCAGATGCCCTCACATCCCAAAACTTGAAGCAGCAAGGCAGCTTTATTGGTAAGGCAACCAAAGGGATGAAGGCAAACTCACATCTCAATTTTTCATGAACCTATGTAGAAAAACTACAAGAAAAAAATCGCAGTGTAGACATGAGACCCCTCACAAATTCAGGTGACCCTCACACGACATCACAAGTTTGCTTTGCAGCTGGGGACTTGACGGTGCACCAGCAAATTTGTAGGACAGTGTCACACTACAGGGAAACTCAAAAAAAAAAAAGGCAAAACCAATGAAGGTTAGTAAAAGTGAAGGGGGATGCAAGAAGTGAAAACAGAAGGGGAGGAAGGAGCCATCAGTTGCTAGAAGCATAACAGAGCTTTATAATTACTATTACATGGGACAGGCAGCAGCAGTTCCCAGATTCCATGGTTTCAGTGGCTGCACAGCTGGAGACCAAGGGTGTCCATGATGCCCTGGGGAACCTGAATGGGATCAATCGTGCCAGGACAGAGCTGAAACACTGCGAGCTCACTTCCAATGGAGAAAGATCTCTTCCTTTTCTCTTACAAGTAAAAACACATTAGCAAGGTTATCCTCAGAGTCACATCATTTATTATAATAAATCCATTCAGATTCTGAAAAGAAAGAGGGACACAATGTTAAGATGAGCAGGGGAGCAGTGAAAGAGATAAATCATTTACTGTCACAATTTTCCATTAGTTATTCTCATATACAGTAACGTTGTCTTTCCCCACACTCTATGTGATTTATTCCTCATTTTGCATTTGACCCCAGAACCTCAGAGTAGTTTAGAAGGATTAGCCAGTGGGAAAGCAGCTGGGGAACAATAATATAGATAACTGATTTGGGATTCTGTTTTTTGAGTTCCATATGTGAGTGAAAAACATTACAAAATTTTCTCCCTTCCATTGGATGAGGTATTTGGCTTTTTGTCCTT